TTTGTATTTTTGTATTTGTTTTTATTAGGCTGTTAGCCGCCCTGAGTCCGCAAGGAGAAGGGCGGGGTAAAAATATAATTAATAATAATAATAATAATAATAATAATAATAATAATAATAATAATAATAATAATAATAATAATATCTACCTGGGCCAATTATTTTTAACAGGACAGGTAATTGCAAAGATTCTACTTTATATTCCACTGAATATATTGAAGATTCAATTATGGTTTGAGTTTTGTCTGGACTGTAGCGTAATAAATACACAACTCTGGCCCAAATATCCCAGCTCCACGATTGGAGAAATTCCGCATATACTTTAAATCTTAGGCTGACTGAAATCTCTTAGAAATGCAAACGCAGAAACCTAGCTAGAAATAATTTGGAAAACCACCAGATTCTAATCTTTCTAGGAAGTAATCTCAAGGGATTATAAAACTGTCTCTGAATTTTACAAGGGGTCAAGTCTGGAAAGGGCATGCAAAGGAAGAGTTAGTCATTCCGCAGAAAGTTGTTCTTGCAAATACAGTAATGTGGCATTCTGTGTAATCTTATTTGGTGCTTCTTGGACATAATTAATGCACTTTAATCTGTATGTTGGTTTTAATGCACAGGTTGTTACGTGTGGCAGGGGTAAGGGGAAGGGTCAAGGAAAGCAACAAAGATGATCCGGGGACTGGAGGCTAAAAGATATAAGGAACGGTTGCTGGAATTGGGTATGTCCAATTTAATGAAGAGAAGGACGAGAGGGGGACATGATAGCAGCCTTCCAGTATCTCAGGGGCTGCCCCAAAGAAGAGGGAGTCAAGCTATTCTCCAAAGCCCCTGAAGGCAGGACAAGAAGCAACGGATGGAAACTAATCAAGGAGAGAAGCAACCTGGAACTAAGGAGAAACTTCCTGACAGTCAGAACAATTAATCAGTGGAACAATCTGCCTCTAGAAGTTGTGGATGCTCCAACACTGGAAGTTTTTAAGAAGAGACTGGACAGCCATTTGTCTGAAATGGTATAGGGTTTCCTGCCTGAGCAGGGGATTGGACTAGATGACCTCCAAGGTCCCTTCCAACTTGATGATGATGATGATGTCTGGAGGGAAGCACTTTTTCAGTTAAATACAGGAGCAGAGTGTCATTGTTCTTTCACAGCAAAATGACCAGGGTAGATGCCATATGGGCACAGCCTAGTAATGTTTCGGGGGTGCCCATTGTCATTGTAGGTGTTCTAGTGGCTAAGCGTGTGGGTCATCTCCCTGTGAATAAGGAGGGATTAGGTGGTCTCTGCGATTCAAAGCAATGGACTGCAAACGGAGAGAAAAGCATTGAAAAAAAAGGAGGAAGCATCGTGTGAAATATTTTCTTACTCTCCCTCCCCCTGAAATTGGCAGCTGACTGGCTTTTTCAGTAGTTGAGTCAGACTTCTTTGGAAGAGAATGAGAAAGGGAAAGAAACAAACAATGCAATTTTCTGTTATAAGGAAGGAAAAGCATTTTAAGCAGAAGAGGACATTCTGTTGAACATGCGCAGCCTGTGCATTAAATTCTAGTTAATTGAAAATGGGATTGGTCGACAAATTTACCTGGCAGACATGAGTAAAATTCTTACACCTCTTGATAACGTTGAAAAACAAGCTAGAAATAAAAGAACGAACGTGTAGTGAGACAAATGCAGCATTTTTCACTTAAGAAGTTCAATACATGGGTCTAGGACAGTGGTAGGCAACCTTGGCTCTTTGATGACTGGTGGACTTCAACTCCCAGAATTCCTGAGCCAGCATGGCTCAGCATGGAAACCTCTCCCTTTCCCCTCAGCATGGCTGGCTCAGGAATTCTGGGAGTTGAAGTCCACGAGTCATAAAAGAGCCAAGGTTCCCTACCCCTGGCCTAAGTCCTCCTGTTCTAAGCAGTGAGCCTCCTAGACCAGGGGTAGGCAACCTTGGCTCTTTTATGACTGGTGGACTTCAACTCCCAGAATTCCTGAGCCAGCATGGCTCAGCATGGAAACCTCTCCCTTTCCCCTCAGCATGGCTGGCTCAGGAATTCTGGGATTTGAAGTCCACGAGTCATAAAAGAGCCAAGGTTGCCTATCCCTGGTCTAGGATGAGGAGACATAGGTGAAGTGTAAAAAAAACCTTGGAATTGTGGCTAATCACAAGCTGGGTCTCAACCAGCAGAGTGATATGACTGCAAAGAAGGCAAATTCTTTCATTCTTTCATTCCTTAGGCAAGGACTACTGCCCAATAGACCTATCTTCTAGTTCCAGCCACTGGAGACTCTTTGGTCGACGGGACCAGCAGCACACCCAGTTTGCTAGTTTGAACTGGGTGGGTAGACACTCTCAGAAAGAGGCAGTCCCTCAGGTAACTTGTTCCCAAGCCATGTAGGGCTGTAAAGGTAACAACAGCATCTTGAATTCCATCTTAAAACATGCCAGTAACCAATACAGCCCATGCAGTAGTGGTGGTATTACGTGTGCTGTATATTTGGCACCATTTACCACTTGCATAGCCACAGTTGAAGTTTCTGGATGCTCCTCAGGGGCAGCCCCATGTAGAGTGTGTTGCAGTAGTCTAAATGAGAGGTTACAAGGGTGTGAGCAACTGAGTAGAGCTTCGTGGTCCAGAAAGGGGCACAACTGACACATATAAGGAACGGTTGCTGGAATTGGGTATGTCTAGTTTAATGAAGAGAAGGACGAGGGGGGACGTGTTAGCAGGGTTCCATTATCTCAGGGGCTGCCCCAAAGAAGAGGCAGTCAAGCTATTCTCCAGGCAGGACAAGAAGGCAGGACAAGAAGGCAGGACAAGAAGCAACGGGTGGAAACTAATCAAGGAGAGAAGCAACCTAGAACTAAGGAGAAACTTCCTGACAGTGAGAACAATTAATCAGTGGAACTACTTGCCAGCAGAAGCGGTGAATGCTCCAACACTGGAAGTTTTTAAGAAGTGACTGGACAGCCATTTGTCTGAAATGGTATAGAGTTTCCTGCCTGAGCAGGGGGTTGGACTAGATGACCTCCAAGGTCCCTTCCAATTGTATTATTATTATTATTATTATGGATCATCGCACAGTCAGACAGATGTTCAGACTGGATTTGGCATTTTTGTCTACCTATCGAGTCCTTACCAAGGACCTGGGATAGGCAGATGTGGATGTTTGATGATATTACAGATATCGTCACAGGATGGAAGCAGTTCCTAGTAAGGCCGCTTTTTGCAATTATTTTTTATTATTATTATTATTATTATTATTATTATTATTATTATTATTATTATTATATTGTTGTTGTTGTTGTTATTATTATTATTATATGAAGCTGTGCAAAAGTACTTCTAACTATGGCTGCTATCTGCTCTTTGAATCTACAAGGACCCCCAGTTTGGGTACGGAGTCTGCCTGGGGTAGTGCAGCCCTACCCAGAACTAAAGATGGAAGAACCTTGATTCAAGAGGGCCCAAATAACTACAGATACTCAGTCTTGCCTGGACTGAATCAGACCCCGTTTCACTCCATCCAGTCCCCAACAGCCTCCAGACACAGGGGTAGGACATTCACAGCATCACTCAAAGGGCCTGGGGAACAGATATAAATAAAGCTGGGTGTCATCAGGCCTCGTATAAATATTAAATAGAAGGGGAGAGGGGATTGAACCCTGGGGCACCCCACGATGCGGGGCTGTGGGCTGGATCTCAACAGAGAAGAGCAACAAAGATGATTAGGGGATTGGAGGCTAAAACATATAGGGAACGGTTACTGGAATTGGGTATGTCTAGTTTAACGAAGAGAAGGACGAGGGGGGACATGATAGCCATGTTCCAATATCTTAGGGGCTGCCACAAAGAAGAGGGAGTCAAGCTATTCTCCAAAGCGCCTGAAGGCAGGACGAGAAGCAACGGGTGGAAACTAACCAAAGAGAGAAGCAACCTAGAACTAAGGAGAAACTTCCTGACAGTTAGAACAATTAACCAGTGGAACAACCTGCCTCCAGAAGCAGTGAATGCGCCAACACTGGAAGTTTTTAAGAAGAAACTGGACAGCCATTTGTCCGAAATGGTATAGAGTTTCCTGCCTGAGCAGGAGGTTGAACTAGATGACCTCCGAGGTCCCTTCCAACTTTATCATTATTACTTATTACTCACTGGATCTGACTGTGCAGAAAGGAGGAAAAACAGCACAATAACGTGTGGCCCATTCCCAATCCCTGAAGCTGGCTCAGAAAAATACCACGATCAATAGAGTAAAATCAAAGTAGCAATGGAAAGTTTCCCTAAGGATCTAAGCCAATTTTTTTTTCTTCCTGTTTTTGGATTTCAAAACAGTTCTGTGGAAATCCGCACGTCGGGCTCCTCCTTTGCCCTTTGAAACACTCTCGTGGATTTGCTCCAATTAATAAAAGGGACTGGTCACACCCACCCACAATTTCTACTCCAACAGCCTATAAATAAATGTTCCCAGGATTGCTTCGCCTCCATTTACAAGGACGCACTTGCAGGGCTCCCATCTAAGTTGCAAGAGCTTCTGAAAAGGTAAGCTAAATCATTCATGTTTAAATACAATTGCAGAGTGTTGTTTTCTGTTCTGAATGCTCACAAACCGCCTCGTAATAATCATTTCCCAGAATTTTTCTTGGCCATCCATGACTGTTTTGTAGTTATCTGGCCCTTTGCCCCTTTTGTGTTTTTGGAGATAGAACCATTTGACTTTTGCTAACAGTGATCATCGCTGACTTCTCAAAAACTATTACGGGGGTAACATCCATGCAAATGAAAAAAAAAAATCTCTGTTGGTAGCATAGAAAACGATACAGATAGTGTAGAATAACGCCCAGCAAAACTGCAAGAACAAATTACAGCCCTTCACCTGACACCACATAGCTATATCTGAATGGTTTTATGAATCTTGGCATGAACTGTTTCCTCTCGCAGCATTATAGGCCGCGTAAAATACACAGAGAGAAATTGAAAAAAATTCTTTTTCAGATCCGGCAGCGCGACTTTCTCATGGATTCCCAACCTTCTTACGATGTGTTAGTGGAAGGCCTCCAGTCCGTCGATGTCACGGGAGATTTCAACCCTTGTGAACTTTTGCTCACAGGAGACCGAGCCTTCCCAGTGCTTGTGGATTCCAAGGGCCAAGTTCTCATCGCTGCAGCCCAATATGGGAAAGGCCGGATGGTGGTCACGGCGCATGAAGTCATGATACAGCTTCCCCAGTTCTTGCCGTTCGTTAAAAATGCTCTGGAGTGGCTTAGACCTTCTCCAATGGCACCTGTAGGAGTCCACAGAAGCCTGGATGCCCTCTACAAACTGCTCCTCAGTAGCGGTATTAAAGTCCAAGCAGGTGCAACGCTTGGAGACTCTCCTGGGGTCTTCTGCAGAGATGCCTACGATGATGTGGAGGCAGATGACCTTGTACAGTTTGTGAAGAGAGGCGGGAGGCTGCTCATTGGTGGCCAGGCCTGGCATTGGTCATATCAACACGGGAAGGAGGCAGTCCTGGTTCGATTTCCTGGAAACCTGGTGACCGGTGTGGCTGGAGTGTATTTCACGGCCAATGTGGGAGAAAATGGTGTTTTCTCTGTGCCTGAAAAAATTCCCAAGATTCCCCTCATCACCGAGTAAGTATTTCTTCACCTCTCTTTCTATGGTTATTAATCCTATATATAACAGTGATTAGGGTTAGAGTTAGGGTTAGCATTGGTCTCCTCAATTATTTGACAAAAAAACCCCCCACGAGTGATGCATTTATTTTGGCACTATTCTTACAGATTCTTTAAATTCGCCTGAATGAAACACGTTCAGAGTTAAAAGAAAATTTATATTTCTTCCCTGTCAGAAATGACAAACTCACTCTACAAATGAAACAGCACCAATACAACAGCAGATAGATTCTTAAAAAGGCAGATTATTCTGGTTTTATGGAAGATCTATGAGGCTTCCATCCAACTCTTCTGGGGAAATTATGTCAGCAGGCTTTGCCTTCAGTTTGGGGAAACAGAGGTTTTTAGGCGTATACCATACAAAAAAATTATAATAAGAAATTTGGGGAAGTTCAACACCAGAATTTGAATAAGTGTCCATTCAGTTGTCAATGCTCTTCATGCAGTATCCATTTAGCAGCAAATTAACATCTTTCTCCTTCTTCTCCTTCTCCTCCTCCTCTTTCCTCTTCTTCTCCTTCTCTTCCTTCCTCTCCTCCTCCTCCTCCTCCTCCTCCTCCTCCT